ATAAATTAGATAAGTTTAGATTTAGGAAAGACTTGGGTAAATACTGGTTCGGTAACAGGGTTGTTGATTTGTGGAACCAATTACCGCGTAACGTGGTGGAGGTGGGGTCCCTCGATTGTTTCAAGCGTGGGTTGGACATGTTTATGAGTGGGATTGGGTGGTTATAGATTGGAGCTGCCTCGTATGGGCCAATAGGCCTTCTGCAATTGCCTTTGTTCTTATGTTCTTATGACGACAACATGTTAAGACAGCATCGAGGATCTGAAAATATATATGAGCCCAGCACACGTGTAAGGAAAGTGGGTACAGGAGCCACAGCAGCTGAGACAGTGTTGAAGTAAAGAAACCTGGCAGCAAACCCACTGGGATGTCGTCCAGAACACCTGAGTCAATAAAATAGTTACACAGTTGGTGGTACAATAGGCCAGGAGGTCTAAAGTCCTTTACGGTTTCACATTCATCAATATAATGTTCTAGTGAATGCATTAAAGATTTATCACAGAGTTTACAATCTGAGTATTCTGGTAGTGGCTCAGCCTCACTAACCTGCCAGATGTGTGTATAGCCAAGGCGAATTACAGCAATGACTACATCACATTGCCTGGTCCGGTTACTGTGCTGACCATACAAATACTTATTATTACAAAACTTGTCATAACTTTGAATACTGCAGCCACTAAGATACCCACTTACACTGATGACACAACACGCAAGGTTTAACCAATATTAAACACTGCATCACTGAAGGAAACTGCCAAGTCTTCCTGTTCGTCTTAAGTTCATCTTCACCTCAGTGGTCCTCGACTCGGAGGTCGCCCTTGGCACATAATACTTAATTGACCTTCAAAACACCGAGAAATTTCACATAGTTCATGGTATCTTTTGTTAAAAGAACACACACTCCGCATCTGAAACATACTTCAGGCATCGGAAGTAATATACCTGATACTTCAGGCAAAGGTAGCACTATGCCTGATACATCAGGCGATACAGCAAGGGTAGGCGGTAATACAACAAGATGGTGTATGCAGGTCCCTCCTGAGATAACCACTACAACTTGGACTGGACGGTAGAGCGACGGTCTCGCTTCATGCAGGTCGGCGTTCAATCCCCGACCGTTCAAGTGGTTGGGCCCCATTCCTTCCCTCCGTCCCATCCCAAATCCTTATCCTGACCCCTTCCAAGGGCTATATAGTCGTAATGGCTTGGCGCTTTCCCCCGATAACTCCCTCCCTTAACACACCCACATACAATCTATATCATTTCTACATCACATGAATTAATTATATTTGGTATTATAAGATTTATGCCTCCACCAAATTTATATATTTGTGTGGATAACAGTTTATTAATGTTAATCATATTCTATGGATCTATTTAAATGTTGTGTCATTGCTATACATTATCCGATAGATCTTGCCTACTGTATTTTCAACGGTGTATTAGCTTTCACCAATTCTCTGTGCAAGCTCATGGCACCATTGCACCGGGGTGCCAAGTGCCTCAGGTGCTATGGGAAAACAAATACATAATAACCTTCCAGTTGGTTGTGTGGTTGTGTGGTTGTGGTTGTGTGGTTGTGTGGTTGTGTGGTTGTGTGGTTCTGTGGTTGTGGTTGTGTGGTTCTGTGGTTGTGGTTGTGTGGTTCTGTGGTTGTGCGGTTCTGTGGTTGTGTGGTTGTGTGGTTCTGTGGTTGTGTGGTTGTGGTTCTGTGGTTGTGTGGTTGTGTGGTTCTGTGGTTGTGTGGTTGTGGTTCTGTGGTTCTGTGGTTGTGCGGTTCTGTGGTTGTGTGGTTGTGTGGTTGTGCGGTTCTGTGGTTGTGTGGTTGTGCGGTTCTGTGGTTGTGCGGTTCTGTGGTTGTGTGGTTGTGTGGTTGTGCGGTTCTGTGGTTGTGTGGTTGTGCGGTTGTGTGGTTGTGTGGTTGTGTGGTTGTGTGGTTGTGCGGTTCTGTGGTTGTGTGGTTCTGTGGTTGTGCGGTTCTGTGGTTGTGTTGTTCTGTGGTTGTGCGGTTCTGTGGTTGTGCGGTTCTGTGGTTGTGTGGTTCTGTGGTTGTGTGGTTGTGTGGTTGTGTGGTTCTGTGGTTGTGTGGTTGTGTAGTTGTGTGGTTGTGTTGTTCTGTGGTTGTGCGGTTCTGTGGTTGTGTGGTTGTGCGGTTCTGTGGTTGTGTGGTTGTGTTGTTCTGTGGTTGTGTGGTTCTGTGGTTGTGTGGTTGTGTGGTTGTGTAGTTGTGTGGTTGTGTTGTTCTGTGGTTGTGCGGTTCTGTGGTTGTGTGGTTGTGTTGTTCTGTGGTTGTGCGGTTCTGTGGTTGTGTGGTTGTGCGGTTCTGTGGTTGTGTGGTTGTGTTGTTCTGTGGTTGTGTGGTTGTGTGGTTGCCCGAACCACATTCTTTATCAGAACTCAAGAATACATGAGCCAGGGAAGACACACACACTATATATACATATTATATAAAAGATAGTGGTCTGGTGTGAAGATACGAGGTAATAAGTCATAATAAGGGGGGGGGGATAAGTAAAGAAGCGGGCCAGGAAGTTGGGCCAGGTCCAGGGCTTTGTCATCACCCTCAATGGAGGGAAGATGGCACGGAACGCGGCGATGACTCGGCAGCGAGGTCTTAATTATCCTCTTAGCGACGGATTTGTGATTCAGTGTGGCCAAGACCTCGGTCATCATCCGGTAACGTCCGCCAGGGGGCCGCTATCCACCCCCCCCCTCACACCCTGGGGGAGCCCCAGGGTGTGGGGTGGTGTTGCTGGGAGATGGTGGGAGGCTGGGGGAGATGTTGCTGGGAGATGGTGGGAGGCTGGGGGAGATGTTGCTGGGAGATGGTGGGAGGCTGGGGGAGATGTTGCTGGGAGATGGTGGGAGGCTGGTGGAGATGTTGCTGGGAGATGGTGGGAGGCTGGTGGAGATGTTGCTGGGAGATGGTGGGAGGCTGGTGGAGATGTAGCAGGGAAATTTTAAATGTAAGCGGGGCTCAAAAAATAGGGAAAAGGGAACAATCCCGAGAGGAACATAGCAGGGAAAGATGCCATCCATACATGTAGGTCCCTAAAGGGAAAGGGAAGCAAGAAACAGCTAAGAAAGAGGGCAAGAAAAAGGGAAAAACTAAAACCCCAATAAAAAAAACGGCTCAAATCTGACATAAATCCGAGATGAAGACGTGGAAACCCTCGCTAACTACTCTCAGACCACTCCTCTTGTTTCACAAGGGTCCTGATGTATGATATGACCCCCACAGCAACCCTTTTCTCCTCTTCCTGACGCCCTATTCAACCACCTTCCCCTTGAACCAGCACACAGCAGCCGCCCCTCTGGGAAGCTGGGAAGACGGGACACCACGAGCGTACCTCTCATCCTGTAACTACACTTAGGTAATTACACACACACACGAGTTAATGGTGGTTAATCCTCTCAACCACCTTCCCCTTCAACCAGCCCACAGCAGCCGCCTTCAGACGCTGCTGGCCCTCCACATTCACGACACGTTGTACTGAATGGGGTGAGAATAGCTTGAGCTACCTCATCCCTTTGTGTGTATTTTACCTCAATAAACTTATTTCAATTTCAATTTCAATTCCACATTCACCCCAAACTGTTTACATTCATCACTCCGGTAATCAACAATGGCGGACCTTTGACAAGTCATTCAGCATGGCGTCGAAGCCGTCTTTAAGGTCACGCCTTCAACCGGGCCTTCACGGGGTCACGGCAAACTTCCAGAACACTCATTTCCAGTTGATAGGAAAAACTTTGTAGGTATTGGAATGTGTGAGGGAGTCTGGGTGGTGGGTTGATTACTGGGGCGGTGTTCCTTATGGGCGCAACACGCCCACCGTTTAATTGACTCTGAGGGGTTAATGGTGGTATATATTACTGCAGGGTGTGATGGTGTGGCTCCTGGGGTCACCCTGGGGTCACCCTATCCCTGCCACACCCAGTCTTTATTACCTCTTCTTTTATTATTATCATCATTACTATTCTAATACTTTGACTGTTGTTGCTACCAGTGCTACTCTCACTTTATTACTCATCGTTACTACTACAGATTCTACAATTATTACTGTTATTACACAGGAAATCACACTTAGGTCATATGTTAATGAGAAGATCGACTGGAGCAGTGCTGAGGATTCGAACCCTCGACCGCTAACTGCCTAGTTTGACTAAACCAAAAACCAGGACGCCGTGAAGACATTGATTACCACAACTCCCCTCAAGGTCTTCGACCAGGAAACCAGGTCGAGGACCGGGCCGCGGGGACACTAATCCCCGAAACCATCTCAATGTTAGGTAAGGAAGGTAAGGCCACACGTCACTACATCTTGTAGGGTCTGTAAGGTCCTACTAGTAGTAGTAGTAAGGTTTATGTAAACTAGTAAGACCATAGCAGTATTGTATGGTGCCCATGTCTCAAGAAGCACCTTACCTTGAGGTTACCTTGAGGTGTTTTCGGGGCTTTAGTGTCCCCGCGGCCCGGTCGTCGACCAGGCCTCCTGGTTGCTAGACTGGTCAACCAGGCTGTTGGACGCGGCTGCTCACAGCCTGGTTGATCAGGTATCCTTTGGAGGTGCTTATCCAGTTCTCTCTTGAACACTGTGAGGGGTCGGCCAGCACGGCAATAAACTGGAAAAGATGCAAAGACAAGTAACTAAATGACTTCCGGAACTACAAAAAGTAACTTCAAGACTTCCGGAACTACAAAAAGTAACTTCAAGACTTCCGGAACTACAAAAAGTAACTTAAAGTAACTCCAAGACTTCCGGAACTACAAGAAACAAGGCGTCGAGGAGAGGAGTTTAGAGGTGTTAAATACCCAAGTCTTGGGTTACCCAAGTGCAGTCTTGGGGTATCGAACTCTCTCTTGTATCATTCTCAAACTATCCGAGAAGATGACCTCTATCTACTTCCAGTAGATTGCCTATATACCTCCAGAGTTGACAACTATCTACCCGAAGTAGTTGAAAAGTTCTCATGAGCCAAGAGCCAGGAGTGCGAGGATGATCGACTCTCAAAGAGTCAAGCTGCCGTCTTCAGGTAAAACTAGTTTGGAGGGGGCAGGGGGATAGGGGGCAGAAAAGGAAAGGAGGGGGGCTAGGAAGGAGCAAAAAGGGGGCAGCGCGGGGGGGGAAGGGGGTTATTGGAGCGCGGCCATTTGTCACCCATATAAAAATGGCCCACTCTTGTGATGAATGGTCGTGTGGGGGGGGGGGGGGTTCAACTGCCCCCTCCTCCTCCCCCACATAGAACACCTACACCCTACCCCCACACCATGGGCAGAACACCCGCCCCCCCCCTACCATGGGCAGAACACCGGCCCCCCCACCATGGGCAGAACACCGGCCCCCCCACCATGGGCAGAACACCGGCCCCCCCACCATGGGCAGAACACCATGGGGTAATAGGATTATCTCAGCAAAATAAATGATGTGCGTCAAGTCTTTTGTTTACATAAAAGCACCAGTGAAAGGGGTTTTGTGTATAAATAAATTATTACACTTTTTTTGCTGCATAAATTAGTGGAGCATAAATCTATTGTAGGGCCGACTCCACCACCCTCCACACCCACACTGAGGGACACCACTACCCTCCACACCCACACTGGACGACTCCACCACCCTCCACACCCACTGTGGGACTCCAGCACCCTCCACACCCACACTGGGGGACTCCACCACCCTCCACACCCACACTGGGGGACTCCACCACCCTCCACACCCACACTGGGGGACTCCACCACCCTCCACACCCACACTCCACCACCCACACACTGGGGGACTCCACCACCCTCCACACCCACACTGGGGGACTCCACCACCCTCCACACCCACACTGGGGGACTCCACCACCCTCCACACCCACACTGGGGGACTCCACCACCCTCCACACCCACACTGTGGGACTCCACCACCCTCCACACCCACACTGAGGGACACCACTACCCTCCACACCACACTGGACGACTCCACCACCCTCCACACCCACACCACACCTGCCTTGAGAGGCAGGTGTGGTCCTCCATCCTCCAGCACCAGTACTGGAGGACTGTGTTGGTAGCACCACACCTGTAAGGTACCGGTGTGGTACTGGTGTGGTGCTGGTACCACACACACGCGAGGTTCTCCTGGTGCAAGTGGTGTGGAGGTGGTGTTTGTGGTACAGGGTGTGGGTGAGGGTATAGCAGGTGGTGCTTGTGGTACATAAGGATACAGCAGGCCACAGCGCCACGCAGGAAGGGCCACCCCCCCCCCCCTCACCCCAGGTGTAGGCTAGACGCTACCAGTCCTACACATCAGATATGTTTTCGAAATGTACGTTTCAATATAGATTTTTAACCTGTTATATGTTTAGGGAGTTAGTGATGAAGATGCTGCACCTCTCCGCCTCCAGCAGCCAGCCCCCCCGAACCCCCCACAACTGTCTCTATATACACACACACACACACACACACACACACACACACACACACACACACACACACACACACACACACACACACACACACACACAGACGAGTTACAGAAGCAATAGTGTACTACCCAAGACCCAGATCAGAGGCAGGACGGGCTGCCAGCGACCCCTGTAGGCATCAGGTGCAGGTCGACACATCTTACGACATATTTATGGCAGTAAAACCCACAAAAGGACTTCAAGACTCCAATCCAAAAGTGAAGGAACTTTTAGAGCCGTGATCACTATCAGGTCGGGGCAGATGGCGGCCACCTGGCGGCCTTCCGTTGCTCTCCCTGCAAAACCATAACTTATATTTTAACACAAGATTGGAAAGGATAGGACGCAAACGGTGGACAGAGAAACAAAGGTGGAAGGAGGGGGGAGGGGGGAGGCAGACAGGGAGATAGACAGAGACAGAACATGCAGCTGGAGCTGTACAAGAGACAGATGTGTGCAGGAGAACGGCACGCCAACAGCCACAGTCCAGGTGTTCTGGGAGTGCCCAGTTGCCCGCCCTCACAACACCTCTACTCAGCTCTACTCTTCTCAAGCTCAGTGTCCTGCTGTCTAGCTTCACTACTGGACGGTACGACCCCTCTCTCTTTCTCAAGCTTTCCCTTACGTTATAGTGGGCGGTGGGTGGACCCAGGTGGGCGGGCAGGGGCGGTGGGTGGACCCAGGAGGGCGGGCAGGGGCGGTGGGTGGACCCAGGAGGGCGGGCAGGGGCGGTGGGTGGACCCAGGAGGGCGAGCAGGGGCGGTGGGTGGACCCAGGTGGGCGGGCAGGGGCGGTGGGTGGACGAGCAGGGGCGGCAGGGTGGAAGGAGCAACAGTGCAGGTTGGCTGGACCTGTGATGAAGGTCTTCAGCTGAAGATAATGACCGCTAATGGCCGCTCATCACTCCCGCAGATCCGCTCTCTCTCTCTCTTTAGCAACCTCAGATAGACCCAACGGCCACTACCTCGGTGCAAATTGTCGTTTTGATGGTGCAAACGATTGTTTGTGGGGGACACTTCGTACCCTAGCTTCAGTGACCCCCGAGACGACTCATGCTGAAGCCAGGGACAAAGTACACGCTGACTGCTATAGTTCTTCTACCGTCGGAGTAATCACTCATCATCAGCCGACACAATGATCTCTTCCTCACAATAACGAAAAAGATGGTGAGAACTGAGATGGCTGAGAGAACACCCAATCACCACCTCGACCCATTTCTGTGGTGAATACAGCAGTGAACTGCTACCTTATACACGAAGGGATTACCTCCCAGAACAGCATTTCTGCAAGGCACTTGACAGCATTAAGAAGGAGGGGGTCGCGGAGAGGCTTTTTTTGACCGCGTCGCCGTAATTTCTCTCTCTCGCAACAGCAGTAAAAAGCTAAATAAAGGAGACGGGAAGACAAATAACTTATTCCGGAGGAGTTTAACACGCAATCTTACGGACTCGCGAGTGCTGAAATGGTTTCATCCCGACACGAACTCACCGCACCGTGGCGCATTAAAATGATCTACTGTTTCCGGAGAGCCAAAAATATTGTGGTTAAAGCAGAGTGCTGCCCAGTGTGGCAAGCTGCAGAGGCAGCCACAGCAGCAGACGCAGCAGAAGAGTAAGAAAACCAGCAGAAGAACAGCAGCAGAGGCAAACACAGACTCTCTCACAAGTCAAGCCTGCCCTCGGGCCGGGCTTGGGGAGTAGAAGAACTCCCAGAACCCCATCAACCAGGTATCAACCAGGTACAGCGGCAGAATAAGGAGGCCAGCAGAGCCCTCTGCAGCAGCAGAGGGAAGAACCAGCCCTAACAACGCTGTCAGGCGCACCGCTGTTACACACAAAGAATGTTGTTGTTATAGATTCAGCTACTCGGAACAAGTTCCAAGTAGCACGGGCTATGGTGAGCCCGTAGTGGACTTACCTGGCACAGGAGCGGGGCTGTGAGCACACAGAGAAGCCATTTAAATAGCAGTGAAATAGGTGGAAACTGTAGTGACAACAGTAACAACGATAATAACAGCCGCACCAGCAACAGAAGCAACAGAGCCAGAAACAATAGAGCAACATTAGTCAACTGTTGGCGATGTAAACTCCTGCCCACCACTCTACACCACAGCCTGCTTGGTCCGGCACTCCTTAGAGTAAACTAGTTGCTGGTGTCTTAGCCAGTCAGGCGAGAGGGGGCAGAAGAAACCCATGAAAGGAGACCTATGAGCCAGCCACCGTCACCTGGGTAGACTTGGGAGATCGACTGCCGCCAGGGAGAGAAATGGTGCACCCTGTTCTTCAGTATACATACATTAAGAATATAATTCAGTTCTGAAATGTGTTCAGGACTGATGTATACTTGCTGATTGGTCTGCAAGCTCTGGCGGTGGCCTTAATAACCCTCCAGAGGTTGGCAGCCCTTGAGCCTAACACCAAACCCACTCCCAAACCTCCTTGTCAATTCCCTTAAGCGTGGTCCATGCCTCTTCTTTCCCCCTTCTCTTTACTAGCGATGTTTTAATGGTCCAGTTTGTGTGTTTCCTGGTGCTGGAGTACAAGACCCCAGCCTGTACGCTTCCACTTCATACCCATCTATCTCAACCTTCCTGGGGCGTAGCTCACTGGGGAGTACATCTCTCCTGATTGATCGTCCTCGTGGGATCATATCCGGATACCGGGAAGGAAATATCGTAACTCTGGACACATGTAGCTGGATCATGACCGGATACCGGGAGGGGGAATGTCTGGACACGGGCGACGCCGCCCCTGCCCCACGCTGTCGCTTCGATAAGCATCTTAGCACAGACATTTACGAGGTGAACCCCTTGTTTGGTGGTGGCTGCCCTTCCGGCGGCCAGGTGAGGAGCCTGGGGACGTGTGATGGTATAAGTGACAGGTCTGTTGTTGTCGTCTTAGATTAGCTACTCAGAAAAGTGTCCATGTAGCACAGGCTATGGTGAGCCCGTGATAGGTCGTCTTGTGTACCTTTAATATGCTCCTAATTATCCTCGCTTCCAAGCCCCTGATTGCTTGATTAGCTTAAAGTAAGGTAGGCCTATGATATGTGGTCCTCAGAGGTCGACTGGCAACCAAAAACGAAGGCCTATACTGATTACTATTCTTGTGATACTTGAGTAATCAACAGAAAATGCGTGTCAAGTCCGTGCAAGAATCATGTGATTGTTCTTATTATATATATATATATATATATATATATATATATATATATATATATATATATATATATATATATATATATATATATATATATATATATATATATATATATATATATTCGCTTGCACACGCACACCGACCCATAACCAATTAAACCAAAATCAGAGGGAGTGTAATAGCCTTGATGGTGCAGTAATGGATCTGCCCATCCCTGGCTGCCTCCACCACACACATGGATGCTGCCATCTACTCCCCAACACACATGGATGCTGCCATCTACTCCCCAACACACATGGATGCTGCCATCTCCTCCCTCCTCCCCAATACACTCCCTCAAACCACCAACAAAGAACTATGAACAGCGACCCATCCACCGCAACCCTTCACCAATGAACCTTGAACCACGAAATAATTAATGATAATTAGGCATGACGAAGAGATAATTATCAGCTGGGAACCACCTAATTACACTCCCCCCCCCTACAACACCTGCAAAATAATTAACAATGATAATTAATGTTTACAGGACGATTATTATTCAAAGTAACATACTGTTTCTTAAAGGTAATTAGCTCGACTTTCTTTAAGTGAAGACAATGGAGTTGAAGTGCCCTCTGGTGGATTGTAGTGAAGACAGCCCTTGGTAGGCCCTCACACACACACACACACACACACACACACACACACACACACACACACACACACACACACACACACACACACACACACACACACACACACACACACACGAACACGTACAAGGGGACACAGGTGGAAACTGAGTGCCCAAATGAGCCACATAGATATTAGAAAGAACTTTTTTAGTGTCAGAGTGGTTGACAAATGGAATGCATTAGGCAGTGATGTTGTGGAGGCTGACTCCATACACAGTTTTAAATGTGGATATGATAGAGCCCAATAGGCTCAGGAATCTGTACACCAGTTGATTGACGGTTGAGAAGCGGGACCAAAGAGCCAAAGCTCAACCCCCGCAAGCACTAGGTGAGTACACACACACACACACACACACACACAAGAGGCATGAGTTATGAGGAAAGGCTGCGGGAAATGCACCTTACGACACTGGAAGACAGAAGAGTAAGGGGGGACATGATCACAACCTACAAAATCCTCAGGGGAATCGACCGGGTAAACAAGGATGAACTATTCAACACTGGTGGGACGCGAACAAGGGGACACAGGTGGAAGCTGAGTACCCAAATGAGCCACAGAGACGTTAGAAAGAACTTTTTCAGTGTCAGAGTAGTTAGTAAATGGAATGCATTAGGAAGTGATGTGGTGGAGGCTGACTCCATACACAGTTTCAAATGTAGATATGATAGAGCCCAATAGGCTCAGGAATCTGTACACCAGTTGATTGACGGTTGAGAGGCGGGACCAAAGAGCCAGAGCTCAACCCCCGCAAGCACAATTAGGTGAGTACAATTAGGTGAGTACACACACACACACACACACACACAGAAAAACAGCAATAGAATGTTAACTTGTTACTTTGTTTTCCTCAAGTTTTACTGTGTTTGTAATGCTTACCCGCTCATAACAAGGCACCGGGTCCGGCAAATACTGTCGTCTGAATGCTGGCGGTGGCGGCACGAGGCCCTGGGCGCCCGTCTCCTGTACCACTGGTACACACCTCCACCAGGTACATACTGTACCTCTCCTGCACCGCTGATACACACCTCTCACAGGTACATACTGTACCTCTCCTGTACCACTGGTACAGCTCCACCAGGTACATACTGTACCTCTCCTGTACCACTGGTACAGCTCCACCAGGTACATACTGTACCTCTCCTGTACCACTGGTACAGCTCCACCAGGTACATACTGTACCTCTCCTGTACCACTGGTACAGCTCCACCAGGTGCATACTGTACCGTCCTCTCTCAGGGAATCTTGGCAATTAAAGGAATTATCATTCAGGAATGGTCACTACGCCAGTATGCGAACGCTCAAGGGCTATCTGTTGGAATTCTAGTTGGAGTATGTAAATTTGTGTGTATTTACTAGTTTTATTTACTGTTTGCATTTACTGTTTGTGCTTGCAGGAGTGAGCTGTTAGCTCTTGGACCCCGCCTTTCTAATGGTTGGCTGTCTAATGTGCTGACCTATTTTTCTCTATCATATCTACATATATTTCTCCCACACACACACACACACACACACACACACACACACACACACACACACACACACACACACACATCCCCAGGGTGTAGCTCGCAGCAGCTGTCTAACTCCCAGGTACCTATTTTACTGCTAGGTGAACGTAACATTAGGTGAACGAAACTCTGTCCATTTGTTTACGACTCGTCCCGGAACTGAATCCTGACTAGACTGTAGTAGTTCCAGTACGTTGTTCGGCCCCATTTTACCTATTTCCGTAGTTCACTTCTTCAACACATCAAGAACGCTTTTCATAACATTCTTCTTCATTTTTTCTGTGTCTCACTTTCCATATTTATCCTCTGGTCCTTGGGATTATCTATTTTAAATAGCCCCTGCTTGCCAATCCTCTACCGGCACCTGAGAGTATTTCGTAGGTCGCAATCATGTCCCCCCACTCTTTACCAGTGTCAAAAGATGTATCTCATACGAAGACCACGCCTGAGCTTCTTCAGAAGACTCCATGACAAAGTGGTCTGTGGCTACACATAGTTAAAGATATTACGGGATCACCATAGCCCGTGCTACATGGACATTTCGTTCCAAGTAGCTAAATCTAAAACAACAACAGTTAAACACGTCAAAATCAAATGCACAATTCTGAAGTTCGGATTATTCTCCAACTTCAGTAAAAAAAATTAGATTTTGGTAGGAAAAAATGCTTTAATATTTACATATCCTGGAGAGAATAATCACGTTGGGCTTAAAAGATGCGCTTTAATCTTATTATAGACGAGAAAAATGCTACAGTTATATTTACTCTGTCGAGGTTAATGTTCTGTTAATTAACACAAGTATATTAGCCTTTTATAATGTAATGGAAGGAAGCAGAGGTGTGTGTGTGCACTGGAGGATTGTGTGCAAACATATATTGAATGTATTTATGCATGTTATACATTATATATATATATATATATATATATATATATATATATATATATATATATATATATATATATATATATATTTATATATATATAGGTACCACCTCTGGTGCAATTGTAGGGACCCATAGCCTTGAAGAAGAAAATAAAACAGCTATATTAGTCCCTTGTGATAGCCAGACTGGCTCCCAACTTCCTGGATCTCCCATATCGTCTCCCTGGCCTCCCACCTCCTCTCCCACACTCACCTCTCCTGCTGTGAAGGGGAAGAGAGTACCCAACAGTACTCAAGACGGGACATCACACGTGATTGGAATATTAAACAGGACTGCGATGGGTTCCCTGGATTTGAAAGTTCTCATAAGGCATCCTATCATTTTTCTTTCTGGCGCTATATTTGCTTGGTTATGTTCACTAGACGTTAGGTCGTCCGGCGTTATTCTAAGATCATGTTCACTAGACGTTAGGTCGTCCGGCGTTATTCTAAGATCATGTTCACTAGACGTTAGGTCGTCCGGCGTTATTCTAAGATCCTTTACATGCTGCTTTTCTTCTGTGAGGGAGAGCTGGTGGTGGTGTATCTGGTGTTTCATTTAAATTCTCAATTTTTACCATACCTTGAGGTGCTTCCGGGGTTTAGCGTCCCCGCGGCCCGGTCGTCGACCAGGCCTCCTGGTTGGTGGACTGATCAACCAGGCTGTTGGACGCGGCTGCTCGCAGCCTGACGTATGAGTCACAGCCTAGTTGATCAGGTATCCTTTGGAGGTGCCATACCTAAGACATTGGATTATCACTGTTAAACGTGTCATTTTTTGTTCAATCGAAAACTTCATTGATATCATCTATGTCACCTAGAGTCACACCAACCATTAACAGCCCACCACAATGACCACCACTAACAACCCACCACAACTTTTAGTGTCAAGAGTGGACAAAGAACTTTTTTAGTGTCAGAGTGGTTGACAAATGGAATGCATTAGGAAGTAATGTAGTGGAGGCTGACTCCATACACAGTTTCAAGTGTAGATATGATAGAGCCCAGTAGGCCCAGGAATCTGTACACCTGTTGATTGACGGTTGAGAGGCGGGACCAAAGAGCCAGAGCTCAACCCCCGCAAGCACAACTAGGTGAGTACAACTAGGTGAATACAACGACAACCACCCACCCACTCTGCCTAACTACCCAACGACCGTGTTTAAGTTGGTTCAGAGACTATACGCAGCTGTTGAAGCAGGCGGAAATCATGCAGTTACCACCCCTACACCAACAGTTAAACTTACTGTTGTGTACATTCTCAATCGACTTGAGAATGGTCCAGGACGGACCGAAACGTCGTCGTCCCTTCACCTTCTAGTGTGTGGTCTGGTCAACATACTGTTGTGAAACACACAAAACAGTCACATCTGCTCTCATCCTCGCTAAAACAAAAGAATGGCGCCAACAGCAAGGAAGCCCCAAACAGGCTAATTCCATTGACACTCTCATGGTAAGAGAGATGCAAGGGTTGTTAAGACGCCTGTTAACTGCTTAGTGGCCATCGTGGCTCCTGCAGTGTCCTAGTTCCACTGTAAGGCATTTACCCACAAACTTGTGTCACGAATGTTCTTAGGAACTCTGTAAGAACACTACGCAAGGTTCAGCAAGGGGGTTCTTGCAAAGTTATAAGGGATTTGGGACTGGTTCACCTGCATTTCAAATAGTCCCTTCTTGATACCTGCTAGCCAGAGTCATCCAGAACCAGCCAGAACTAGCCAGAGTCATCCAGAACCAGCCAGAACTAGCCAGAGTCATCCAGAACCAGCCAGAACTAGCCAGAGTCATCCAGAACCAGCCAGAACTAGCCAGAGTCATCCAGAACCAGCCAGAGTCATCCAGAACCAGCCAGAGTCATCCAGAACCAGCCAGAGTCATCCAGAACCAGCCAGAGTCATCCAGAACCAGCCAGAGTCATCCAGAACCAGCCAGAGTCATCCAGAACCAGCCAGAACTAGCCAGAGTCATCCAGAACCAGCCAGAACTAGCCAGAGTCATCCAGAACCAGCCAGAGTCATCCAGAACCAGCCAGAGTCATCCAGAACCAGCCAGAGTCATCCAGAACCAGCCAGAACCATCCAGAACTAGAGTCAGTCAGTTAACTCCAAGAGCAGTAATGTGGGCTGCTTCCCACGCTCTCCGCCCTGTTAAGGAACGGCATCTTATTTAATACCTCAAGTACCCTTAATGGAAATGATAATTATTGTCCCCCCTAGAAAACGGGGAGTAGGGAAGGGTGTACTGTAGTGTGTTTTATGGTGTCCGGAGACCGGGTGTGGGAGGCTGGGAGCCACGGACACGCTATGTCTACATAATCTAGATGGACATGATCTTTCTCTGTGTAGGTTGATGTGTGATGGTGTGGGTGATGGGGGTAGAATATTTGGGGTGGTAGTGTGGTAGGCTAGGTGTGGTAGGCTAGGTGTGGTAGGCTAGGTGTGGTAGGCTAGGTGTGGTAGGCTAGGTGTGGTAGGCTAGGTGTGGTAGACTAGGTGTGGTAGGCTAGGTGTGGTAGGCTAGGTGTGGTAGGCTAGGTGTGGTAGGCTAGGTGTGGTAGGCTAGGTGTACTAGGCTAGGTGTGGTAGGCTAGGTGTACTAGGCTAGGTGTACTAGGCTAGGTGTGGTAGGCTAGGTGTGGTAGGCTAGGTGTACTAGGCTAGGTGTACTAGGCTAAGTGTGGTAGGCTAGGTGTGGTAGGCTAGGTGTACTAGGCTAGGTGTACTAGGCTAGGTGTGGTAGGCTCGGTGTGGTAGGCTAGGTGTACTAGGCTAGATGTACTAGACTAGGTGTACTAGGCTAGGTGTGGTAGGCTAGGTGTACTAGGCTAGATGTACTAGGCTAGGTGTACTAGGCTAGGTGTACTAGGCTAGGTGTGGTAGGCTCGGTGTGGTAGGCTAGGTGTACTAGGCTAGATGTACTAGACTAGGTGTACTAGGCTAGGTGTGGTAGGCTAGGTGTACTAGGCTAGATGTACTAGACTAGGTGTACTAGGCTAGGTGTGGTAGATTTAACTTCGACACGTGGTCTGGAAGCTGTAAACTCGCCCCCGAGTGACTCAGAAGTTGACCTAGGAAATATTACATACAAAAGCGAGAACAGACTAGAAACTTGTACTCGAGTGTACTAATGCTCCAAGTTTATCCTGGACAAACACAGCACCGAACGCTGTCCTTTGATATAAATTAACATGATTTAAATCGAGATTTAAAAAACTTCTTTAAATCGAAATTTAAATCAAAATACAAAAAAATCATTTAAATCATTTTTAAAAACTCAAACAGCATAGAGTTGGTTATCATATGCTTGCATGCTATTTTGTGTCAGCATAAAAAATTATCATAATTGCGGAACAGTACATATCAGACAAGTTTTATTGAATGTTCAAACATATTTATCATGCCTGCGAATTTCACAAAATTATTCTAACTTTGGGAATATCTAGACAAATTAATTTCATTATTATCTAAAACACATCAAAACAATACTAACTGTAGAACAGTGAATAATGTAAAATAAAAAAAAACTCATGAATGTCATTACAATTCAAACCTACAAGGATAATTAGACCTTTATTGTATCCAGTGAATTACAAATCAAAATCAAAGTTAAAACAAATAATAATCATTTCACCAACATATTACAGTGGTAATTTAAAATTCAATTAGGTTAATAAAATTAAATAATTATTACAACAGCAATTATTAGCGCTCCAGTCACCAATGTTACATATTTGTCTAATTCAATTGTCAAAAATTATTATGCGGAGAGACGAACATTGAAGAAATTAATTATTGTCCTTTTGACCATGTCGTAGCTCAGTTGCTTAAGGCAGCGTCTGGGATGCTCTCGGATGCAGGTTCGAATCCTCGTCACGGGTCTTGTGGATTTGTTCATTTAATCACTGTCAAATCTATCGTCCAGTTTGATGAAGATTAAGCCACCCAAGAGGTGGCACGGGCATGAATAGCCCGTAACTACCGTCCAGCTGTTTCTTGTTATTGATTCATCTACTGGGAACCAAAAGTTGCAAGTAGCACGGGCTATGGTGAGCTCGTAGTGCACTTACTTGTCACAGGAGCGGGGCTGTAACTGAGTCCAATGTTGTTATAGATTCAGCTACTCGCAACAAGTTCCAAGTAGCACGGGCTATGGTGAGCCCGTAGTGGACTTACCTGGCACAGGAGCGGGGCAAGTAGCACGGTCTATGGTGAGCCCGTAGTGGACTTACCTGGCACAGGAGCGGGGCAAGTAGCACGGGCTATGGTGAGCCCGTAGTGGGCTTACCTGGCACAGGAGCTACTGTCCAATCTTACTGGGACAATTATACTGATGGTCCGGTTCTCTGTACCAATAAGTCCCCCAGGGTAGTGAGGTGGTAGCCGGGTAGAGACGACCCCTCTTACCTGAAGACTCGGTCCAAGTTACAGCCCCGCTCCTGTGCCAGGTAAGTCCACTACGGGCTCACCATAGTCCGTGCTACTTGCAACTTTTTGTTTCTGAATCTATAACAACAACAGCTGGAGACGCCACTTGGACGCAGGTGCGGAATGTTGGGGTGAACAGCAGCAGCAGGAGCCCCACATTCCTCCCCCCCCCCCCACGGGTGCACCTGGCTGGTGGTAAATGAACGCTAGTGAACACATACACTAATGCTCAAGGTCCTGTTAACGGTCCTGTTGTATGGCGGTCAGATCCTGTTGATTGGTGGATGAGAGGACCCGATATTCATATTACTGGTAGGGAGAGGATGAGGGAGAGGGTATGTTGTTGTTGTTGTTAAAGATTCCCTACCTGGAACAATAAGTTCCAAGTAGCACGGGCTATGGTGAGCCCGTAGATAGTTATATTGGGAGAGGGGGAGGAGGCAGTAGCATTAGTTTCGTACTCCATATATGAGGTCATAGTAACATTTAGAGGATGTTGAGCGGACCCCACAACACCCCACTTGCGTGCAGTTTCACTTTAAGAGCGGCGGGAGGAACTGAAATGTTCCGCCTTCACATATATATATATCCGAGTGAGTTTGGACGGGTATAAATAGGCGCCGCCTTGTATGGGGGTCAATAGGCTTTTTTTTTGCAGTTGCTTCTATTACAATATCCATATGTATGTTGTCTGTTGCAGCGTCACACATCTCTCGTCTCCTACTCTTTCAACTGAACAAATCCACAAGGGCCGTGACGAGGATTCGAACCTGCGTCCGGGAGCATCCCAGACACTGCCTTAATCGCCTGAGCTACGACAGGGTAAAGTCCCCAGGGTGTGGTGTAGCTGTAAACTCTCAACAATAACCTCATATCGTGAGCATTCCTCAGTGAGTGTTGTAGACACCGTGCGAGCCACGAACAACGAAGGCCCCAACAGTAAGCCTTGAGGAACACCACTTGGTGAACACATCTTTCACTAACCCCTCACACGGCGAACATATTTTCTCTTCTCTCCTCCTCATAGACCCCGCCATTAGTGAGTGACAGCCGATATATGAGAGTTGTCATGGGCTGTGCTAGCAAATGACCAAGAGATGCCGGGGAACACGCTAACAGAGCTTCGCCCTATTATGCACACAGCTTTGCTCTCCGCTAAAGGAAGTTCCCTCATAACACTCACTTTGTATGCTGTGCTTGAGAATGCGAGGGCGACCTGCCCGAGGAGGAGAAAGGAGACGAGGAGGACGTCAATAATCAGGAGATTCTCCAGCACACACAACCTAGCTGCCACATTTATAACCTCACGTTCTCACAACGTTGTAACTAGGTAATTACATCAAGTACCACTAAACAAGCCTATGCTAACACTCCATATTACAGGCGATGAGTCACAATAACGTGGCTAAAGTATGTTGACCAGACCACACACTAGAAGGTGAAGGGACGACGACGACGTTTCGGTCCGTCCTGGACCATTCTCAAGTCGACTGAGAATGGACCAGGACGGACCGAAACGTCGTCGTCCCTTCACCTTCTAGTGTGTGGTCTGGTCAACTCCATATTACAGTTGGTACGGACAAGTAACACGAAGGACACCGAGTGTGATGCATGACCTGTACACACACACACTCGTGCCTGTGGCGGGGTGTCAGAGTCTAATGTATGGAGTACCTGCAGGGCTCATGGGTACGTCCAATAAACCAACGATCATTGAACAGTAAAAACGGATCTGTTCTTGTCGAAGCATCTACGTCCAACCGGGCTGTGGTGGGTTATGTGGGCCTGCGGGCCGCTCCAGCCTGGTGGACCAAACTCTCACAAGTCAAGGCTGGCCTCGGGCCGGGCTTGGGGAGTAGAAGAACTCCCAGAACCCCATCAACCAGGTATCAACCAGGTATCAACCCTGCTTTTATTTACACACAAGAGAAGAGCACAAGGCCCGCCATGGCCAGACTCGGTCCTGCCTCAGGCGTCAACAGCAAATCCCCGGGGCGGAACGTACCTCTCCACATTAACGTCCGTGACAACAATAACACATCTCCTTTTTCACTTCCACGTCCAAACTTACCAACACACACCTGCGTCGTGTCGTATACCCGGCTCTACGTCACCCCTGCCACTGGCTCAAGTTACAAGTCTGCGTTCATTTCAACGCCCGCGTCCGATTCCAGAGTCAGAGAGCCTGCCGCAGGAGGTACCAGCCTATGCAAATGAACGTGTCCATAAATGAACTGCTCGAACCATTAGCCTTTTCTTCATAACCCATTACCGCCATGCTGAACACAATGGGTCGTCTTTCAGCCTCTCACCCATTCACACCCACGCCCTGGAGGCCCCCACGAGGCCTCACCCCACACCCCCTGGTTCACAAGGTTTCACCCTGCAATACTTCACGTTTAGAGAAAACTCCTCCCTTTCCCTGTATCTTGCTAGGCTCTCACTAGTCAATATTTCTCAAGTTAACCGCCTAAATTCATTCATTCATTCACATTCTCTCTCTCTCTGCCAGAGGCGTGTTATCGTGCTGTGAAGATAACACTTTATTATTCCTGCTGCTATCTAGAATGTTGAGGCAGATAGCAGGCTCCAGTATAACACTGCCAGGCGGTCCTGGATCCTCACACTCTGGAATGAGAAGGAGCGTCCTGGATCTTCACATTCTGGAATGAGGAGAAAAAACGTCCTGGAGCCTCACATTCTGGAATGAGAAGGAACGTCCTGGAGCCTCACATTCTGGAATGAG